GTAGGGCTTCTCTCCAGTGTGAGTTCTGCTGTGGTAAATAAGGTCTGATTTTTTACCAAAAGCCTTGCCACAATCTTTACATTTGTAGGGCTTCTCTCCAGTGTGAGTTCTGTTGTGACGAATAAGGCTTGATTTTTCACCAAAAGCTTTGCCACATTCTGTACATTTGTAGGGCTTCTCTCCAGTGTGTGTTCTGTTGTGGCAAATAAGATGTGATTTTTGACCAAAAGCTTTGCCACAATCTTTGCATGTGTAGGGCTTCTCTCCAGTGTGAGTTCTGTTGTGGCGAATAAGGCTTGATTTTTCACCAAAAGTTTTGCCACATTCTGTACATTTGTAGGGCTTCTCTCTAGTGTGAGTTCTTTTGTGGTAAATAAGGTCTGATTTTCGACCAAAAGCTTTGCAACAATCTTTGCATGTGTAGGGCTTCACTCCAGTGTGAGTTCTGCTGTGGTAAATAAGGTCTGATTTTTGAGAAAAAGCTTTGCCACAATGTTTACATTTGTAGGGCTTCTCTCCAGTTTGAGTTCTGTTGTGGCGAATAAGGCTTGATTTGTCACCAAAAGCTTTGCCACATGCTGTACATTTGTAGGGCTTCTCTTCAGTGTGATTTCTTCTGTGGCAAATAAGATGTGATTTTTGACGAAAAGCTTTGCCACATTCTGTACATTTGTAGGGCTTCTCTCCAGTATAATTTCTCTGGTGGTGAACAAGGCTTGATTTTGTATATGATTTCTTGTGTTCACTCTCACTTGTAGTATTCCATATTTTCTTTTGTGGTAAATAGTTAAAATCACAAATTTTATATTTTGCAATTATCACTTCATGAAATCTATTTTTTAGGCCCTTTTCTGGTGAATATTCTTGGGTATGATTAAGAGTCATAACTGAAAAAACACAAAAATTTAAAAAAAATACCTATTAGACTGGGATAAATATATTTTTAATACATAACATGAAATTAAGGTAAAATAAGTACTTCAGGAGTGTATCAGATTAGTAAATCCAAAGTCACCATAAATCAAAAAAAATATATTAGTTCAATAAAAATGTACAGAAAAAATTACCTTTAGAATATTATCCAAATTTTTGTAGAGACCACAGTATCCAAGAGGAGAACATCATTTAAAAGAGTAATATAATTAAGTGTAGAAAAGTATCATTAATAGCCTTTGTCATTGATAAGATAGTAGTGTGTATTTAGGAAATATCTACCATCTACCTTCACTGTCAGTAGAATAAGAGAAATCTAAAACATATACAAACATTTCTGGTTCTTTTAAAGAGTGTCCAAAATATGGTTTTTGTCTTCCATGACATAGAGACATGAAAATATCTAGCAGATTTTGAATGATAATACCATAAATATTCAACAAGG